TGCTAGAACATGGAAAGATACACCGCCATGATTTTTGTCTTTTAAAAAAGAGAGTATTGGAGCGAGGCCAATTCTTCCAAGATTTACCAAAAGATACATGCTCCGATTTGGTAACTAAATGTGAAAAAGACAAAAGCTTTTACGGGTGCATGTTTCCACATTTTGGAAGACAATACATGCTCCATCGTTCGCATGTTTGCTGACTAGCGCTAGCAGTGCCGGGGCCAAGTCCCACTAGCAGCGTTGAGCTACCTCAACGCCTGAATGTGGACACTTTGCGGAGATGTGCAGAAATGGTGTTGAGTTTCCTGAACTGCACGTCTCCACAAACACGTCCAGATTCAGGCGTTCAGGTAGCTCAACGCTGCTAGTGGGACTTGGCCCCGGGCAGGCTCGCCGCAATCGAGACACACAACGAAAGACCAGCGACCCTCACCCCGCCCGCTTCCCTGTTTCATGATGGGACCCGACTCTGGAAGATTCTTTTTCTCTTTTTTTCTATCTGGGGGAGATTCTCCTTTCTACCGTAGATCATTTTCCCGACACTTCTATCCACGGTGGCAGTGGGCCTCGCTCAACTACTCTAGACATCCACAAACGACAAACCATATGGCGACGTATCTTGCCATTCCTTTGCATAAGATTCATTCTCACTTTGCACATTCCGTGAGTCCTGGAGCTATGTCCAGTCCAGCATCTCTTGCCACTGGTATGGTATTGATAATAACCGCTGCCGCTGGACGTGACAGTACCTGGAATTTCCCGAAAAAAAAAACAAAACAAAGTTCCGGAATAGAAAACACGCACCCTTGCCTTGACGTTTGTGTTTGAAAAAAAAAAAAAAAAAAAAACACCCCCGTATCCTCTCGTGTCAATACCCCGTGTACTGGGAGTCAGGCTGCAACCCAGCCCATGTGGATGAATTGCACACCCGGCAACGCTTGTCAGAAAGACCGGGGTTCGAGTCCTCCTGGCCTAGACAAATGGCATGGCTGTATCGACTTACCGTGAGGGCACGCGTGAGCAGCCCGTAGTTTGTTATGTGCCTGCCTTATGAACGAGGCATCGCCAAACCAGGTTCAAAAGGTGGAAAACTGTTGCATCGAAGGGGGGAGAAAAAAGAAGGGCTGAGAGCCTCGTTCCACAGCACTTGAAAATACTTGAGTTTCAAGTGCACACTGCACACGAAACGAGAAATTGGGTCTCGCTCCACTACTCTCTACTCACGAAATTTCGAGAGTAAGGCCACGCTCCACTCACTCTAGATAGGTGCTCTCGAAAACGCCCTTCAAGAGCTGTCAGAAAGCACTCTCGAAGGGCACTCTCGAAGTGTCTAGAGTGCCCAGCCTGCGACGACATGCTTTTCCAGTGTCCTCCCTCGTACCCCCGCTCCCACCATTTTTTTCGCGAGTGCGCCTCGTGTCCCGACCATCAGAACAGGGCGGCGCTGTCTTTTAGTGCAGTCAGAGAGCACGTCTCATTCCGCCACTGCATCTCGAGCAAACCCGTCTAGAGTAAGGGCACGCTCACACTAGGTACCCAAATTCCCAAAAAATGGGAAAATGGGAACGGCCGTTTTGAGGCAATGCGGTCCTGGCCGGTCACACTGTGTTCCCAAAACGCTAACGACAAGGTCGCTGCATCATACTCTGTGGTTGTGGAGGGCACCGGTCACACGGTGGATAAATCAAATGGCAAATGCACAATTATTCGTTTTGTCAATTGATAGGCCGCTAATATCGTGGGGTTCCATTTTTCTCCAATACTGCACGATAATTCGGAAAAAGATTTGAGAATTTGCGGTAACCTCCAGAGGTCACCGCAAATTTCCTCCCCCCGCGGCTTCGCAGGCCGCTGACAAATGGTCACCCCTTTTGAGAATTTGGGCAGATGTTCACCATGTGTGACTGTCCGGGAACTCTTTTTTTTGGGGGAAATGGGGATTTGGTACCTAGTGTGAGCGTGCCCTAAGTGGAGCCAAGACTTTTTTTTCGAGAGTTTCGCACGTCTGACAGCTCTAGAAGGACTCACGAGAGTAGTGGAGCGAGACCCATTGTGATTAATTTACACTTACTCGATGTATGTTCCATGTACACTTGAGGAAACCCTTGAACAGGCTGCACACTTGAAACCGAACTCCTCTCCTGCTGGGAAAAAAAGAAAAACCGAAAAAAAGAACAGCCCCACTTGGAGTGCTGGCGGACTGTGTGGAGGTATCCACTGGCACTTGAACTCAAGGTACTTGAACTTAAGGTACCTCCGGGAGGACGGAGGACATTGACGCAAGCTCCGGACGATGGGTCCGACTACGTGGCGACGTCGGAGGCTATTGTTGAGTTGTGCTACGCATTGGGTTGCGGAGTGATTCCTCGAGCGACGCCGAGGTGGTGGATGAAGCACAGGACAGGAGGCACGTGGGAAGACCTCAGGCAATGCGACGACGTGACAGACGACTACTTCCAGGAGAAGCTACGCATGTCGCCGCGAGTGTTCCGGGAAATCGCAGAGGCGTGTGCGCCTCATCTTCAGCGGCGGGTGACATTCTACAGAGAGCCTTTGCAGGCAGACCAGATTGTGTTGTACGCACTGTACGGGTGGGCTATAGGGAAGACGTACGAGAGCAGCACGTGCAACTTCGGGATTGGACGAGCTTCTGGCCTAGTTGCCATCCGCGACGTTGCTGCCGCGCTGCTCCGGGTGTTCGGAGAGAAAATTGCCTGGCCGGCTGGAATTCATAAACTCGTAGTTTTGCGGGCGTTCGCTGATAAAGGGTTCCCCAATTGCCACGGTTGCATTGACTGAGTTCACATCTACGTGGACAAGCCGGCAAACGCACCAAGCAAAAACTACTACGACAAGAAGCGTCGTTTCTTCATCGTCTCGTAGGTTGTCGTCGACCTGGACTTGCGTGTGCTCGATGTGCACATGGGATACCCGGGTAGCCGCCATGATATCAGGGTGCTCAAGTTGTCCAGCATGTCGCAGCGCACGGAGTCGAGGTCGTTGTTTCGTGGTCCCCCTGTGACACTACCGTTCGGTGTGAAGACGAACGGGTACATCCTGACGGACAATGGCTACCCCCCGTCCGAATGGATGGTCGTCTCGTATGGAGGCATCAGTCAGCACGTCGACGAGGAGCGCTTTGACAACGAGCATAAGGTGGTGAGGGGAGCGGTGGAGAGGGCGTTCGGCAGGCTGAAGGGCATGTGGCGGCTGTTTCTGCGGACGCACAAGACGAACCTGGACACGCTCCCGCAGCAGTTCACCTTCGTCTGTATACTGCACAACATACTGATCAACGCTGAAATTCCGTTCAACGAGAATCTGCTATGGGAGGTTGACGCTCATGGTTTGCAATGTCGTGTGGACCTGGGGATCGAAGAGCCCCTTCAGCTTGTGTCGATGATTATGTCGACAGACGAAGCGTTGACCCTGCGAAATGCTTTGGCATAACAAATGAAACACGATTGAGTCGTGTTCACATGGTGGATAACGGCGCGTGGAAATGTGCTCATTGCAACACTAACCGGAGGGCAGATTCGTTGTTTCGTCCAGCCTGGATTGGGTTGTTAGTATGCGTCCCGCCTTGGGGTTGGTAGTTTGCGTTCGAGGATGTAGTTCGTGATTGTCGCGGTTCGTAGATGTGCGAGGCCGTTGTTCAGGGAGTTTTTTTATTGGTGTTTTCGTTGTGTAGTGGGGATACGGCGCACTGCGGGTGTCATATGCGCCATTTTTTTTTAACAGCGGGTGCCGTATTGAAGAGAAAGCAGGGTTGGTCATACGGGTGGGGTTGAAACTTGTCACCCCTGCGTTACATTTACGTGTCCTTTTAATGAAATGTTGCGCGATTTCGTAATTTCCTTCCAATGTTCAAATCGTCGATTGTTAGTATGTGTTGTTATTCTTTGTGTTCATATTTGAATGTGATGATCAATGCGGACGAAGATACATTGTGCCATTACATCTTCACAACATGTGTTCTTGGACATCGTCCGCTCTATGGGGTTGTGCGCATTGTCTTCCTTCGACTGTTGAAATGAGAATCAAACACGGTTTTTGGGGGGCATTGGGAAAAATGAAAAAAAAAAAAAAACGAGCGACAATGACATCAGAAAAACACGATGAAATGTGTGCATGTAGATCCAACAACCGAACGACTATTCATGATTAATCAAAACGACTAATCAAACAAACGAATCACTATTTGGTCATGCCAGCGAAGTGACGAAAACAGCGGACGCATGATTAAAAAATTAAAGGTGGGCTCCAAGCGCAATCATATTCATTCGCAGCAAATTGCGCTGACAACAACAATCAATACGATAACAGAAATTGAAAACCCTCCAACAACGTGCTGAAGTGAACGTTGTAAAACGTCACTCGTCTACTCGCAGCACCGACACACTAACCAGATCCACAAACAACGACGATTGAAGTCACAAAAGCACCCCTGCCAAAGTGAACGACCAAAAATGTCGGTCGTCTACACGCAGGCGACACACTGTACACGTGCGCAACAAATGAAAAACCCATCACGACCACCAACATTCAAACGTGCGGCCACGAATCCTGGAGCTCCCCCGCCACCCCTTCCACTTCCCTCTCCCGCACCGCCAACCGCCGCC